TCTGCCATTCTACTCTATTGGTGATCTTTCTATTTGTTGAACTCTATACTTCCTACATCCAATGTATTTGGAAAATATTAAGTTGGTGAGCACTGCCTGGACAGTAACATAGATTGATTCCTGAGGGAAAGATGCAGCTTTAACTGATGAGAAGGAAGGTAAGACTATTCATGTTATGATAACCAGATTTCCAATATCTTTTGTCTTAATTATCCTTTTATTTTGATGATGGCTCAGAGAGGCAAGTTTCAACTAACTAAACATTGAACTAGACAATTATTCTACTATGAGGAAATCAATTAAATCTCTGCTTCTTTATGTATTCAATTGTTTTTATCTTTTTAGTTACAAGACTGCATTTAACTATGTTTTCCCAGCATCTGTGTTTAGGGACTCTCTGCTTACTAATGCTCTATTCCTCTTAGACTATTATTAGCATTTATCAGACAAACATTCTAACATTTACAATGTACAGAATATCCTATGAGGTCCCTGCAATCCCATATATTTCAAGCGCTTTACTACAGTGTGTACTGGATGACATGACTTGGATCTCATCCTATTAAAATTTGGATATTAATGTTTACATAATAACAATCCTAAATTTTGTTAACAGCAGATATGTACACTTATGCTGTATTGTGAAATATCTTATATACACCTCCGGGCTGCTGTTACTCATTTAACATATTGATTTACCATGTTTAATGAAAGAACAGAGTCCTGTACATTTATAAGTAATTCTGCACATGCATTTCAACAGATCTAATTGCTTCCACTGTGACAGTAGAAGCTGGTTCTGATGAAAATAATCTTTTATTTGCAGCAATGAATTCTGCATTCTGTATCAAATCCAGCAATCTATACTCTTTACTGTGCGTGAAGAAGCAATTCAGGGCAAAACAAACAATAAAAATCTAAGCTATTATATAATGCAGAATGATTAAAATGGAAAAGAGAATGTATTGCTGTTTCATCAGCTTGAGAAAATGCTTCTATTTTCCCAAGTTTTGCTTGATTGGACGTTCCATATAATATTGATGAAAATAGACAGTGAGGGATTCAGCAAAATAAAAGCAATTCTTTAACGGGTCTTGCCAACAGTGACTGAGTGAAATAGTGCTGTCAGTTAATCATAGCACATGTATCTCATACCTTGGGGCCATCTGCCCTTGGTGGGTTTATGTTTTTTCAAGAACTGTTTTTTTAAAGGCAAGGGAGATGGAGTGTGCCAAGACTGGACTGAAGAGACAGTGGACTCTTGTTTTACTCTTTTCCATTGAGAAATTTCTCACACTCTGATCTGTGCAATATAAGAAGCTGGCAGCAAAGGCTGTTGCTGCTTGGATGCTGGGAATGGAATGCTTGTGGCTGATCACATTTTTCCCTTGAGGTCATGTACAAGCATGTAGTGCATGTTGCAGTAAATGAAGATCGGACATTAACTTCCTCTGGATATTTTATACAGTCATGTATGCATGAGTGTGTTCGTGCTCATGTGTACATGTTCTTGAATAGGTTGCAGTCAGAGGGCATGAAATTTAATGTGTATTTTTTTTTTAAAAAATAGTATCTGGTAGGGATTGGGACATAATAAGGATTTCGTTTTGGGAAAGGGACCCCTGCAATGGCATTCATTGGTGGTTCCTTTAGAAAAGCTGCTTGCACTAGAAAAAAATATGCCTTCTGAACCCACTGTAGAGAATCATTTCAAACAAATGTATTATTTGGGCAGAGATGCAAAATATATGGATTTTTCTTTTCCTGCCTGCAGTAACAAGAATCTTGATACTTATATTTCCCCACTACTACGAGCAGCTAGTATGATTAACCATGACTTTTGATATTTTGTTGATGCTACAGCAGAGTAGAAACAGCAATACTGACATGACACCATATTTATGATATTAACACCCCTAAACCATGTCTTGAGAGCCAGTTTGGTGTAGTGGTTAAGGCACTAGGCTAGAAATTGTGAGACCACGATCCTAGTCCTATCTTAGGCATAAAGCCAGCTGGGTGACTTGGGCAAGTCAGTCTCTCTCAATCTTATAGGGAAGGCAATGGCAAGCCATTTTTGAAGTCTTGCTGCCAAGAAAACTGCAGGGACTTGTCAAACATTGATGTGAAGGTATCCCTCACTCAGTATTACCAGGTTGGGCATCATTAACTGCAGTGATTCTCATACCTTCTTCAACTTGTTGCCATCTTTCCTTGCTCCAGCTTTGCTTTAGTACATTAAAAAAACTTTGCACTTTTAAATACAATATTTTAAATCACAATTGTTTTCCCCAATCATTACCTTTCATGTTCCCATCACCTCTTTCAAAATTTTTTTGGCTTAATGGGAACATTTAAAACTCTGGGATCATGTTGAGAGTTTCAGACAATTGCTGCCAAAATGGACACAGCTACTCCCAGATTGTTGCCGATAAAATGGTTATGATAAAGTCATAAAGATTAAAACCTACTTTTTATGTAGATACTCCCTATCAACCCCTTTCATGAATATTTAATATTTTAATATCAATATTATGTTTAATAGTATTTTTATTAGATATATGTTTTTAGTCTATCTATGGATAGTATATTTTTCTCCATAACAGCAGTGCTGTGATTGAGACTAGGTTGAAAAAGAGCAAATAGCTTAAAGTCATCCAATGAAATTCAATAGCCAAAAACTAGAATTTCCATCCCATGTTCCTAGTCCATTCCCTTAACCACCACACCACATTGGCTCAGTATGTTGCTTGTCGTAAAATCCAATATTGTTATATTATGTCAATATATAATGATTGACTGGTCCCCAATTTATTGATCCTCAGTCATCTTTAGAATAACTCTATATGGAAATTGGTCTTAATCTGACTAGTTTTTTGGATGGTTATTATATTGGAGCATTAAAAAAGCTAAGTTATTTTAAAGATGAAGCATGCACCAAATTGCCTTGTTTACTCAACATAATTCATTCAAATATAGAGCTCTCTGAAAGGAGAATACGGGATCCATTTTAATATGTTCATTTTGGAGAAGAGGCACAATCTTTAGAGTTTCCAAATATTTGGAGATTTTTGTGAAAACTTGAACAATGAATAACTTGTTCAGATCAAATTAAGTGGTTTTATAAACAATGAACCATTAAAAGGTTTTACAAATAAGTCAGTGAAATAAGCATACAGCCCATTAGCCTTCAGAGGTACAGTAGCAGACTCAAGGGGAAGAATATGTAGCCCTCCAGATATTAACAGATAACAGATAATCAGAGTTGGAAGGGACCTTGTAGGTTATCTAGTCCAACCCCCTGCCCAAGCGGGAGACCTTACACCATTTCTGACAAATGGCAGTCCAATCTCTTCTTGAAAGTCTCAAGTGATGGCGCTCCCATAACTTCCGAGGGCAAGCTGTTCCATTGGTTGATTGTTCTCACTGTCAGAAAATTTCTCCTTATTTACAAGTTAAATCTCTCCTTGTTCAGTTTCCATCCATTATTCCTTGTCTGGCCTATAGGCACTTTAGAAAATAGCTTGACCCCCTCCTCTCTGTGGCAGCCCTTCAAATATTGGAAGACTGCTATCATATCTCCCCTGGTCCTTCTCTTTACTAGACAAGCCAAGCCCAGTTCCTGTAACCGTTCTTCATATTTTTTAGTCTCCAGTCTCCTAATCATCCTCGTTGCTCTTCTCTGTACTTTTTCTAGAGTCCTAACATCTTTTCTGTAATGTGGTGAACAAAACTGGATGCAGTACTCTAGGTGTGGTCTTACTAAGGCTTTATAGAGTGGTATTAGTACCTCCCTTGATCTTGATTGTATCCCTCTGTTGATACAACTTAGGATTGCATTAGCTTTTTTGGCTGCAGCTGCACACTGCTGGCTCATATTTAGCTGGTTGTCCACGAAGACTCCAAGATCCCTCTCACAGTTACTGCTATTGAGCCTGCTTTCACCCAGTCTATATGTGTAATTTTGGTTTTTCTTGCCTAACTGTAGGACTTTACTTTTCTCTACATTGAATTTCATTTTGTTAGATATGGCCCAGTGTTCTAGTCTGTCAAGATCCACCTGGATCTTAAACCTATCTTCTTGAGCGCTAGCTATTCCTGCCAGCTTAGTATCATCTGCAAATTTGGTAAGTTCCCCTTCTATTCCATCATCTAAGTCATTAATGAAGATATTGAAGAGTACTGGGCCTAAGACAGAACCTTGTGGTACCCCACTGCTTACTTCCCTCCATGTAGACTTAGACCCATTAAGGACTACTTGTTGAATATGGTTTGCCAGCCAGTTGTGAGTCCATCTAGTGGTGGTGGTATCTATTCCACCTTTTTCTAGCTTACTAAGAAGTAAGTTGTGGTCTACTTTGTTGAATGCCTTGCTGAAATCTAGATATATTCTGTCCACAGTAGTTTGCTGGTCTGCTAATTTAGTCACTATGAATGAAATAAGATTGGTTTGGCATGATCTGTTCTTAACAAACCGTGCTGACTGCTAGTTATTACTTTACTTGTTTCTAGATGTTGCCAGAACTGTTTTTTTATTATCTTTTCCAGTATCTTCCTGGGTATTGATGTTTGGCTGATTGGTCTATAGTTTCCTTTATTGCTGAACTGCATGTATAAGCAAGTTTATGCTATCAGTGAGGGATTTGACAATAATTTAAGAGCTATGTAGACTGGAAACTGAAGCTGAAATCAGTTTCTTTGGCAGGGATCATTTATGTCATCACAGAGGACTTAGGTTTCATTTCTAGTTTAGCTAGTTTGGAAACAATGTGTAATATTTGACCTTAATGGGCACTGTGCCATGTGAGAGCTTGTATCAGAATCCCCTGTGACAAACTTGTTTCACACTAGAATGACTAAACATCAGAAATAATTGAAAGCAAAAATATGTACCTTGCACATCCTGCTTTTCTGCCTGTTCCTGACTAGATCTTTGTCTCCTGTAGAATGCAAGTTTTGAAGTATTGATATGTACTAAGAAGACTTCTGGTCCATGGAACACATTAATTCCTCACACAAATGTCCCTGTATAAATTATTCAACTAATTTGCACCCCATTTCTGATCACCTATTGTACCTATTATCTCAATTAATTTCTCACCACAGAATTCAGCCTTCTCTTTAAAATCAATTTCCCCTCCATTAATTACCTAGGCTTCATTACCCCCCTAAATTAAATTCAAAATAAATAAAGTTTTATGGCTATGGTGTGCAGTTCCTTTTGAAATGAGCTGAATTGCTTTGGTTTTTATTTTTTCTTCCTTCTTGGCTTTCTTCTCTGTTATTTACCTCAGTGAGATTTATTTATTTATTCAAGTTCTATAGCCACCCAACTCAACCAAGATGTTTCCTTTGTCTTTCCCTTTTCTCCCTCTTTGAATTTACCTGAACATTTGTAAGCTCAACATTTCCCCTATGAAGGGAAACAATGTGAAATCCATTTCTTTTCTATGGACACTACACAGAACAAAAAAGTCTCCAGAATGGGGGAAACATTAGAAATGGCATTAACTCTTCCAAGGGCATTTAAAGCCACTCATCATGCATATAGAAGTAGCTCAGTTGTTGGCTGGGATTATCCTCCTTTTCCATACTGAAGCATACTACTCTGTACCAAAATCTTCTAATACTACTCACAGTTGGTAGTTTTTGCAAAATGGGGGTCTTGTCTAGACTTTAAGTCTAATTAAAGAGATCCAGAACTATAAATATATTGACCCATAACTGCATGGAAAAGCCCTAGCTCTGATCCTAGGAAATTCCCATTTGGAAATCCATGAACAGAATGCTACATCAATATCAACTTAGCCAAGTGCACAGAGAAAGGTTAGGTAGGAATGCTGCAAATAGGAAGCCAACCAACTAACCAACCAACCAACTAACCAACAAATCAACCAACCAACCAACCAACCAACCAACCAATTCTCTTTACCCTGATATAATTTATAAAGTAAGTACTTTACTGTATTATTGTATCTATATCTTGCTTTTCAGCTTTAGACTGTCGTTCTGATTTTGTGAGTAGAAATTTTTATGCACCATACACTTTCTATCCTTTGGCAATGGGAAATCTAAGTTGGTATTATATCAAGGCTAAGTGGGGATGAGAAGGATGCCTAAATTATTAACAGTGCCTATTGTAAATATTTTCTCCCATACTGTATAGTTCTAAAGTACTATTTCACATTAAAATAGGATTAAGGTTTCATGTCAGGCACATTCACAAGTGGATCTTAGATATATTTTTACAGTAAGTAGAAATTGTGTCTGTAAAAATTGAGGATTACTTTATTTTTGAATGTAATCATCCTTTTAGACATTATATCCATTCTGGATTTGGTAAAGGACAACTCTTCTTTATATTAAATGGTGTCTCTACTGATTGATGTTGATTCCTAGGTAATATTTAGGATGGCTAAATTCCTTGTGTAAGCAAATAAGATTAGGATATTCTCTATCTCTTTCTTCTGATATCCCATATGTGTATTGTTGGGATTAATGTTATATTACTTGGTTACAGTGGGAGATTAGATCATCATGTTTAGGTGCAAGGACAGACTTATGCAAGATCTGCTAGATAATGATTGATACTTGTATTCTAATGGCATTTTGATTCTGTGGGAATTTGGATTGAATAATTGTTAAAAGTACTTATGCCAACAATTTATGCTCATTGTTTTCATTACTATTATAAAGATTAAAAAGATGTATGATTTTATCTTTATGTTCTCCCTTTTCTTTTCAAATATACCACATAATATCATGAAATAAAATGTATGTACAATCTTAATTGTTTGACTTTGTTTATTCCATAGAGAAACCAATACAGCACTTACAGTAATTAAGATATTTTTTCTGGTCTTCTCATTTTGTTAATGATATCTTATTGAAAGCTGAGCAGTAATTACTGCCCACTGAGGTACACGCTCCGAAGCAAACTAATGGCCAATGACCAATAATGATTACATTAGTAATTATCTCTTATGAAATATAAGCAAATAGGAAAAAAAGTCTGAAATTAAAACCAGTGTGTTTGAAGCTAAAATTGTTTATCTTATTAAATAGTACTAAAATTGTATTTGCAATTCATCGGAAAAATATACAACAAGCTGTTTTTCCCAACTGAATGCTAATGCTTTACTTTTTCAATTATATCTTGAAAAATATTTCCTTAACCCACTGCCTAAGGAACAATTGAAAACAACAGGTGCCAATTTTCAGTGGTGATGCTGTTGTTCACATTATGAGGGATATAATGTTCTGAATATATATTTTAGAATATTTAAATACATGTGTCCCAAAATGTACATTTTGTCATCTCATTAATACATCTAAAGAATATAATATTCAATTTCTTTCATGTAAGAAAGAATATACCTCTCAAGAGTAAAACTAAATTGAGGTAAATAGTTTGAGAATAAAACAACTTTAGAAGACAATACACTTTTATCTACAGTATTTGATAGACTGTAGCTTCTGGTCCTCAAAGCAATAATATGTGTGGAACCACATAAACAAATAAAAGTGGAGGAATGGTATTTGCATCTAATTTCAATTTTACACAAAGAAAACATTCAGTTCCAAATATCTTATATGTGGTATCTTTGTCTCTAGATATGCTGCACATGTTTTGAATCTGAAATGTTTTCAGCTTCAGACACTTCCAGAAATGTCAGCACCTTTTTCAAACATGAAGCAAGGGTTTGAAACTTGAAACAGAGTGTTTCAAGCTCAAAATATTTCAAAACTGAAACATTTTGCATAATGTTTTAAATAATAAAATCTTTAGGCATAAATGTATTAGGGTGCTTGTGAACTATATTGGAAGATCTTGAACCTAGTATCACCCAACAGATTCTGAAATTCAACAACACAATAGATTCAAAAGTCCAAAACAAAATGACTCTCTATCCTGATGCTTGTGCCTCACCTATACAGGAAGTAGAATTATATAGTCCTACAGGCAGAATGAATTGCATATTTCAGCTACACAAAGAAACCAATCCAACTTTCATCTCCATGAGAGCCCTCCAATTTCTTTTAGTATCTGCTGTAGTCTACTATATCCTAGAGTATCTGCTGTTTCCAGTCTTTACCCAGGCATTACTTGAGATATCACCTCTTTAGACCCATAATTTTTAAATATATTCAAGCCTTTTGAGATGGACTTTTTCAAAAGCTTTTTGGAAGCCCAAATATGTTCTGCCAACTGGATTGTCTCTATATATTTGCTTGTTATTTCTCTCTGTCTTTGTTTTTGTCTCTGTCTCTGTCTCTCTTTCTTTCTCTCTGTCTCTGTCTCTCCCTCTCCCTCCTTCCATCTCCCTCTTCCCCTTCCTCTCTTTTTCTCTCAGCAGCAAAGAAGATGTGGGAGAGGGAATGGCAATGGCAATGGCATTGACCAGGGGTTCAATGGCTTCATCCCTCAACTCCTGCAAACTTAAAGATGGATGGGAGGAGCCTTATCTGGCAACAGAAATTTGGAGAGACAGCTGGGCATTGGCCAGGCAATGGTCAGACTGGGGCATCCATAGGATGGTGGACATTAAAATACTAAAGGAAAGGAAGGTTTTCCTCTTTAAATTAAAATGCCTCTGTAAAAAATCAAACAACTGAATAACACCCAACCAACCTCGAACCCAGTGGGGATTAATGTTAGATGAACATTCATTGATGTTTATGGCCTTTCCTGGAATAGCCTAGGTTGCTTCTCAACCTTGGCAACATGAAGAAGTGTGGACTTCAACTCCCAGAACTCCCCAGCCAACATGGCTGGTTGAGGAATTCTGGAAATTGAAGTCCACATCTCTTCAAGTTGCCAAGGTTGAGGAACACTGGTCTAGAAGCTTTTTGGCATCTTGTAAAATTCTGAAGAGTATCTTTTGCTAACATTCACTTCACAGTGACATAGGATGCAGACTGCCTGATAATTATCTTTTGTACTGTTCATTATAAATGTATGTTCTTATGGCCCTGTTTTATACACACATAGACACTGGAGATTTGTTCTTACACAAAGAAAAAAACCCTAGAAAAATATTCTAGGATGCAAAACACAACAGCAAACAAACAAACAAAACCAAACCCAAAATGATGTATTCAAGGCTTCTTTAACTATTTTCTATCATTTAGTAACCATTTTGGAATGTGTATCATAAACAAAAGTTGAGCCTCCAATTCAGATTCCATGCAAGACTGCCAGAAGAGATTTTCCCAGCCTGAGCTGTGGTAGGCACTGGGAACAGAAGCTCAACTAAGAACATATAGGCAGACAGGGAACAATACAGCATTTTCCCTTCCCTCAGTGACACCCACATGCCAGAAGGCAGGGCTATTCTCTCCATCTCTACAATAGTCTCTATCATCCACTTTGGCATGCTTTGTTCTGCTATCCTTCCACTGCCAGGTTGGCCTTTTCATTCAAGGTGAGAATCAGGAGCAATAATAACAGCATTTAGGCTTATGTTCAGCCCCATATCCATTTACAGCACTCTCTGGGTAGTTTACAATGTAAGCAATTGCCCCCAAAAAACTGGGTCCTCATTTTACCAACCTCAGAAGGATTGAAGACTGAATCAACCTTAAGCTCCATCAGGATCAAACTCCAGGCTGTGGGCAGAGTTTGCCCGCAATACATCAGATGTTGGGGCTTGCAGTCAAAAACGTGTTGGGCAACAGTTTGGGGTTGTCTTTGAAATACTTACAAAAAATATTTTGGCTGTGGAAAGACTATCCTTACTGATTTTGCCTTAAATCTGCCTCTGAAAAGGAATGTTCTGTACTTGCTGTCATTGCTATTTGTCTCAAGAAACAAGCAACATCAGTTGCTCAAATGGAGTTATAAATCTGAAGTAATTGCAAGCAAAACTTGATACTACAAAGTCAAATGTAAACCTAGCATAATGTGTTTGTACCTTTATATCTGGCAGCAAATTTGGCCCAATATATTTTATTCCTAATTCACACCTTAAATCAGATTTTCAAAGGCTCAGCTGAATAAGATATGCCTCT